TTGGCTTTTTTGGTTTTTTTGAGACAAGGTCTCCCTGTAGTCCCAGCTGTCCTGGAACTCACTATGTAGACCAGGCTGGCCTTTAACTCACAGAGATCCGCCTGCCTCTGCCTCCCAAATGCTGGGATTAAAGGCGTGCGCCACCACGCCCAGCCCAAGACTCTCACTCTTAACAAGCTTAACATTTCTGAAACTCTGTACCTCAGTTTCCTCATCTATAGAGTGGAATTGAGTGTAATATTGCCTCCTCACATGGGAAAGGATCAACTACCCCACGTTTAGTTGTCCAAAGGATTTGTGTTATCCCTTTGAGAACACATACACACCAGAGAGAAAACCTACCAGGTTCTTCATTCCCCATCAAGCCTCGGACTCCCAAAGCCAAATGCATGCAAAAGTAATGGAAGACTTGAGAAGCAGGAGAACTTGGCAAGCTTCTCCATGCCCTATCACTGTTAGGGTTTAAAATTAGAACATGATACGTTGCTCTGTTGCATTAGCTCCCACATCTCTCTACTCACTGTGGTCACGGCTGAGCGGGGATGAGCTCTGTCACAGTCCACAGCTTCCACTATGAGGTTGTATTGACTCACTGATTCATAGTCTGGCTGTGTGGTAAGTTCAATCATTCCAGAGAGAGGGTCAATCCAGAACCTTCGTACAGCCTGGATGTCTCCATTGATTATCTTGTAGGTCAGACAATTTGGGGGGTGGTCCTCATCGATAGCAGTTACTTGTCCAACCTTGTAGAAGGCTGCCAATGTTTTACAAAGTTCATTTTTCTCGTGCAGACACATTACTCTGAAATTTTAACCTGTCTTTGCTTTTCCAAATGATAACCTGAAGTTTTACAAAGTAATAAACTGAATCCTTTTGGGTAATGATAAGTGTTTGAAAACTAAAACTCTGCATGATGGGAGACACATTTACAGAGACTCCTCAGCCACTTTAAACCACTAGCTTGACTCAAATGAAGTAATTTAAAAATAATTTCATAATGCTAATAATTAGCTTCATCTTAGCATTATGATAACATTATCAACAGGTAATGTTCAGAGCCCAGACTCTGAAACCAGAATGCCTAGGTTACAAATATCACTCACTAGTGTAACATTGAACATTTCTATAACCTCTATGGAACTGATTTTCCTTCTTTATTTGCAAAATAAGTGAAATAGCAATGTCTACCATACTGAGTTCTGAGGACTTATGAAAATACATAAAGCACTTAGACTAGTGCCTTGTATATAGTAAATGCTAAATAAGAATTACTCATTATTTGCATAATTCTCTCATGGAGTCTTCCCAGCAGCCCTATGGCAGCACAGTTGCTGTCTCCACTTTGCAGATAAGGAATCAAGGCCCAGCGCCATCAATGTGCCCACCCACCATAACAGAGCTAATAGTGGTAGTGTCAGGCTCAAGTTGACGTCTGCTAATTCTACAGCCCAGATTTGCTTAATTCCAGTGTGTGGTACCCCAAATAGCCTTTTAGAAGAACGATAATTATGTTACCTTGGTTATATTTGTATGTTCATGCTTGCTCGTGATCCCTGTTCCTGCTGTTTGCCATGCACCCCCAGCACTCTGCCTTGGTGCTCAGCCATGTGGCTTGTTTTGGCCAACGAGATATTAAGTGAACCTGATTCAGGCAGAGGTCCGAGAAGCATTTGTGATGTGATAGTAGACATGCCTTGCTCTCGCCCCATGTAAGCCCCACACCCATGACTGTAATTCAGTCTTTGAGGAAGTCATTCTAGCAGACAGTGTACCTCTTCCTTCATCCTGGGAACACACTCAGGCTAGCCTGAGGATAGAAGGATGTGGGAGGGATCAAAGCATCCCAGTCACCCAGCCAAACCAGGACAGAGCACTGAAAACCAGCTGACTCTCACAGGTTTGAGCAAGACCAGATGGGTGGTCCAACCAACTCTAGGACTCAAGGACTGGATAAATGTTTGTTGTCACATTACTCTAGTTTTTGTGGGGCCTATTACCTAGTATACTAATGGCACTAGATTACAGTTGGGACAGGTGACCCTTCAATCACTTTCCATTTAACTTATAAGCTCTGAAAAGAATGCTTAGCCTCCTCCATGTAGTGAAATACTGCCATGCATGACTAGTGGGCTAATCAAGATGTGTGTGGGTATTTCCACTGCTAGTAACCAGGAGAAAAAGAGTGCTGATGAAGAAACCATTGCGCATGCCCACACTTCCAACCCCACAGAATTTCTTTCCTTATTTGGCATCCTCCTTTAATCAAGATTCATCAGTCTCCCATAATGTCCTATTAAGTAGGCAATGGACACAGCTTATGATACCAGCAGAGGAAGCATATTCATGGAAAAGTAGACATAGCCCTATGGCAGCTCCGGATGAGAGTCTATTGCTCTTGTGAATGCGCCATTTTTAAGAAAAAAGTGTTATAGGACTGGAAAGATGGCTCAGTGGTTAAGAGCACTTGTTGCTCTTGCAGAGGACCAGGTTCAGTTCCCAGCACCCACATGGCAGCTAACGACCATCCGTAACTACAGTTCCAGGGGATCCAATGCCTTCTTCTGACCTCCATGACATTGCATGACATAAGTGCCCTTACATACATGCAGGCAATACACTCATACACACAAAATAGAAATAATAAATAAAAAATTTTAAAGAAAAGGGTGTTATAAGCAATTCAAGGCCATGTAGAGATATAACGTAAAATTGTGATCTGGATCATATAGATCCGGGAAAAGCTAGAGCCATTTCCACATTTAACACCTGGTTAAGTATAATGTGAAGCTTATTCTTCTGTAGGTATGGAATTAACCTTTCAATAAAATCTAAATGTTGTCTTGAGCATCTTCAGCTGAATTTTAAACTAGAGTAATTATGGAACTCTGCCAAACTTCATCATCAAAAAGCACTGGAAATGAAATATCTTTTAAACCTATGTGGCTTGCCACCCAGTGTGATTTAATTTTCATGCTTCTTCTAAATCACTGCTGATAAAGGAATTCTCTTGCCTGTGCTCCTTCCCACCATTAAAAATTTGTCATTTCATCACATATCATTATTTTTTAGTTTAAATGTTACAGTTCCCCATAATTTTGTTAAGGGAAAAATTTCACGTGATCTTCCAAATGCACTCAGGTCCTCTCTGGTAATCAACTCAGTCAGAATTAAACTTCCTTATTAATGGAGTTATTAAACATCCTTGAGGTTTATAAGGCCTAATGTTTGAGATTCTGAGGGAGTTTGTGTTCAGAGTAGTTTTACATTTTTAATTTCCTCCTAAGGGAAAATTGCCACTGAGTGGTAAAGGTTTGGCCTCCTCTATAAACATCTAAAACAGATAAATAAACAAACAAACCAAGCACTGTTCTAAAAACACTGCTTTCATTTCATTCGGTTTTTGCACTCAAGTGAGGAAGGTCAAAGACTGTATTTTGTTTAAAAAAATAATCAAGCACACTGCACATGTCCAGCACTGAAGAGGGAAACCAGCAGTTTTTGCTACCAGTGGCAGTGGGGTCATGGCTATTCTGATATCAAGAATCCAAATAAAAGACTAGAGAGATGGCTCAGCAGGTAAAACCATATACTGCTATTGCAGAGGACCCAAGTTCAGCTCCCAGAACCCACATCCAGCAACCCACAACTGCCTGTAACTCCAGTTCCAGGAGATCCAAAGCCTCTGGCCTCTATGGGCACCTCACTTTTATACACATACCCTCACACAGACACACACATACACATAATTTAGCAGATACGTGATAATTAACATGTGTACTATAATTAGTCATCATGGACTTCTCAGCCAATCCTCATCTCAGCTCTATGATGTACTTATTATAATCTTTATTTTATGGATGAGAACTCAAAGGCACAGAACTTGAGCTCTAGTTCATTCAGAAAGCACTTGCTTAGCATGTACCAGGCCCTCAGTTTGAATTCTTCAAACCACCAAAAAGTCTGGCACCCCACAAAGGTCACACATCTGCTGTGTTCTGTAAATGTCTGTGCTCCTTTTCCATTGGTCACTCAGTAGAGAACCTAGTTGGTGTTTCCTGTGGCTGCTTCAAATTAAACAAGTTAGGGAGCTCTTACCTCCGGATGTTTCTGGAACTGAAAATGAATAATGTGCAGCTTGAAATTTGGGACTGAATTCGTTGTCAGGAGCAATGTCCACAATGATTGTCACAGTCACTGTAAAATTGAACAAAAAATGAATACTTTGTTGATGATTTATTCTACAAACAACTGAAATATGTCCCAAAGTACAGGATTAATGGAGGATTGTGAAGCTACAATGGGATTCTCTCTGCCTTCAAGTGATGGGTATTCCCACACTGTGTTCTCAAGGAACCAGTAGGGTTTGCATGTGAAATGTCCCCCAGAGACTCACGTGTTTGAACATTTGGTCCTCAGACAGTGGCAATGTTTGGCAAGATTGTGGAACCTTTAGGAGATGGAACTTCCCTGGAAGAAGTGTGTCACCATGGGCAGGCCTTGGGGTTTTATAGCTTGGCCCCACTTCCTGTTCAGTCTCTGTTTCCTTTCCGTACCATGTGACCAGCTCCACTCCTGTGGCCGTACTCTCTATTCCATGATGGACTGGATCCTTTCAAAGTGTAAGCCAAAACAAACCCTTTCTCCCTTAAGTTGCTTCTTGTCAAGTATTTGTGACAGCAACAAGAAAGATAAAACTCAGGTGAATTTTAAATCCACTCTGCTTTTAGAATATATCCTAGGTCATGAAATAAAAGTAGTTTCAGAAAACCCATATTTAGTACCTGGAATTGACATAAATTCTACAGTCCTGAACTAGGTTTAACATCTAGAAGCTCAGTTTTCCTCATCAATCAATCAATCAACTAGTCAATAACATCAGTGCCAATCTCCTACATTACAGTATAGATTTGATGTCAAAGGAGATCATGCTTAAGAAAGATTTTCAAATGACAAAAAAATTAAGTCAAAAGTTTGAGATGGCTCAGTGGGCAGAGGTGCCTGCTGACAAGCCTGATGATCTGAATTCAATCTGTTCCCCAAGACCCACACAATGAAAGGAAAGAGCTGGCTCCTCCAAGTTGTCTTCTGACCGCTACACATGTTATGGCACACTCCCTCCCCTCCACCACACACACAATAAATAAACTTCATAAAAACTTTGTAAGGAGTTATTATAATTAATTACAAAAGAAAGAACTCTATTTCAAGTCAACAAGCTAAAGAAACCTATTAGAGCATTGTTAAAAAGAAATAATTTGATATTCAGACAAAAAAGTAACTTGAAAGGAAAATATAATAAAAGTAAAATGATAATTAAAACTTAGTATATAAGACACTAGCTGGAGTCAGTGTGGTGGGAGGTACAGGCAGGGGACCTCTGTGAGTTCAAGGTCAGCCTGGTCTACAAAGCAAATTCCAGGTCAACTGGGGCAACAGGGAGACCCTGTCTCAAAAAGACCAAAAAAAAAAAGACACTAGCTAGGACATTGGTATTACTGTCCCCGTTTCACAGGAGAGAAACTGAGGTTCACAGAATTAAGTTCATGGTCCAACATCACAAAGGTAACAAACCACTGAATGACACTGGAGCAAGTTAGATGGGTTAATGTCCCCTAAAATACCTTCTCTGAGATGCTAGTGTGTCAAATGCAAAATCCCCAATTAAGTAAGAATTAAAATGCTATTGACAAGACTTCTTAGGGTTTCTAATATGCTGTTGTAGATTTTGAACTCCAAGTCAATACTCCTTTCCAGACTTATTTGATCATTAAGATTTTTTCCTTTAGCATATTAGCCTGTAGGATTCACAGTAGGAAGAATTCTTAAATACTGCCTCTCCTGAACCTCTATGCCACATATGTCAGACAGTAGAATTCAATCTGCAGTCTCTGTGACCTTTATTTCAGAGACTCCATGGCATTTTTTCACTTTGCAATATTTGTTATTAGATTCATTTTTAAGGGATAGTGTCTACAACCTTCATCAGAATCTCAAAAAGCCATGATCCTGAAGAAAACTTAAAGAGTGCTATTCTACAAAGACAAGAAGTTTACTTTAAACCCAATAAATCCCATTTATATGTTGCGAGAGCAGGTGCCATTCACAGCTCTGCCATACTGTGATTTTTATTGCATCCATAAAGACTCCAAATTGTGTTAATTAAGTGTCCTATAAAACAAAACTGAACCACATGTACAGTGTTATAGGACTCTTTTATGAGCAATTACTGTGAATATGTTCAGGTGTGAAGATCAGAGAGGATATGATATATTTTTATCGTGAGGGATGTTGTCTCTTTTCCCTGTTCAAGAAATCTGGTGAGAAGGGAAAGTTCTTTGGTTTTTTTTTTTTAATTGATTAATCTGTCAGGATGAGTAGCTACAAAAAAAATCCATGTTCAAAGATTCATCTTGGCTTCATGATAAACTTCTGTGTGATACTCTGCCAGCAACATCAGAGAAATTCAATGAGAGCATTTCTGGGCCTGATGTCATGCATGAGTCCTTATCCCCAACACACCACTCCTCTGCATAGCTGTGTCACATAAGTCCACAATTCACCTTTTTACACTCAGCCTCTGTATCAGTCACCTTTCTGACCACTGGGGTGAAAATATCTGAATGACTCAACTTAAGGGAGAAAGGATTTACTTTGGCTCATGGTTAGAAACTGGGAAGGTACAGCAGAGGGAAACAAAAGTTCTTTCTCATCTAGGCAGATCAGAAAGCAGAAAAGGGGCAGGAAGCAAGACCAAGCTTTAAACCTCAAGACCCACCCCCAATGACCTACTTCTTCCAGCAGGCCCCACTTTCAAGAAGTTCTACAACCTCTCAAAACAGTTCCACCAGCTGGGAAGCAAGTATTCAAACACATGATCCTGTGGGGGGCACATAGATGCCTGCAGTAATTCCACCATTCTACATCCATGAAAGACAGAGCAGTCTTTCCTATTGCTCTCAAATGCGACCCCAGAATGCTTCTCAACCCCATGACCTAGACAACTACCAGCAGTGATTCCGAGTTCTTACAAGACAAGAAACCTAAGTTCTTCATCATCAGACATTGTCACTACTATTCAACTTCTGTTTTTCACCACATCTTCTTGGCTATTGTTCATGGACACACCTCCAGGATACTTCTTACCTGTGCTTTCAGGATAAAAGAGACACTTGGGATTAATGACAGATGTACTCAGAAAATTCTGAGAATCTCTCTTCTTACAAAAAGTCTCTATGTTCACAAACTTCACTCTGGAAATGGTAGTGTAGCTGTTAAACACATAATGATTCCTTAGGAAACTTGATACATAGTCTCCTTTGCATGACAGTAAGCAAAGAGAAGTAGGCATTGGTGGTTCACTAAGCTCACCAACTTGTAAGCACTCCACTCTGGTTCCATAGTAACTAATTCAGTATGTCCCACTAGTTCATAATCAATCAACAAAATTAAATCTACAAGTGCCAAAGATTTTATTATCATGCAATCTAGGTAGACTAAAATCTCACTGCCCAGAGACCCATTCTATCATAGGCTGACCCAAACTGGTGGGATAATTATGAGAAAGAAGACCATTACAAGCATGCAGTAGCTGTACTCTGCACATTCACGAAGGGTATGAGCTGTAGAACTTGGCAAGTGACTCAGTGTTTGCAATAATAACAGCTCTGTCATGTAAGATAATTCAAACACAACATTTTAAAGCATCCAATTTCCTATATGTTTGGGTTTCATGTTGCTCAGTGTCTATCTAGCTCTTTACAGGTAGGAGACATTAGGCATCACTCAGCATAATTGGATCCAAACGTTCCCTCCTCCTTCTACCTCCAGATCTCTAGCCAGAGTGGGATTTAAGAACCAAATATGATTTAAGGTGTTGCTAAAAGGCGAAGTGGCCGCCCAGAACTGATGAAAACTTCTGGCCTCAGTCTATCCAATTCTCGCATTCGTTTTTTGTTCACCTTAATAGATCTGCCCCTAATATGAGTTTTCATAGTTAAAAATGCAAAGTGACATATATTTCTTGATCTGCTATGTATAATTTGTCAGTAGGTTGTAGGAGTAATATGGTTCTCACTGGTTTTCAAAGCTAGCTAGGCGTTGTTTATCTCTCACATTGTCTCACCCCTCCATCATGGTTTTCCCACTTAAGGTGCCCCCATTCCCCTCCCTTTCTCCCATAATAATACCCTTCTCCTGTGATTCTACCTCTCTTGGGATCCTTCTTTCCCTTTATGCCCTAGGTTCCTTGTATACCCTTCCCTCCCCGCTCCCTTAAATTAACCCAATTTTTATTCATATCTCCCTTATTAAGGCCTGGTTCCTACTGTTTTTCTCTTTCAGGTTATTTCTTTTCTTTACCTCACTGTTTCCTTACCCTTTGTCCTGGTTTCTGTAATGATGTCTGGTTGCATACTTATTTATCAGAGTCTGGTTCTAGGATCCACATATGAGGGAGAACATATGTCGATTTT